AGAAAGTATTTAAAAGGCCTAAATAATTTTTTATAATTAGTAAAAAATACTAAATATTATAATAGAGAACCTTTTTTTATAATCAATAAACTAAGTAACTTTGGTAAACTTTAGTAAATTTTAATAACTTTAATAATCTTATAATTATAGTAATATCAAATAATCAACAAGCTATTAAGTATTATTTATTCTTAGCATATATTTAATACCCACTTAACAAAAATGCTAATTTTTTTTTGAATTTTATGAAGCTATAGAACCTAAATAAAAAACTAATTCAAATTTGTTCAAGTAGTTACAAAAATATCTTTATTCAAAGTTAAAGAAAATCAAAACATTTATTAAAAATAAAAACTATGCTAAGTTATTTTAAATGTTTAAATAAAGATATCTCTACAACTACTTAGCCAAATTCTATAAAGTTTTTTTATTTAAATTCTAGATTAAAATAAAAAAAAAATTTATTAAATTTGTTAAATAATTATAAAGATTTTTTTACTCAAAGTTAAAAAAAACAAACATCTATTAAAAATAGAAGCTGTGTTACTTTTTTAAAATTTGAATAAAATTTGATAAAAGCTTTTTTTATTTAAATTCTAAGATTTATATAATTCAAATAAATAAATTTTATTAGATATTACAATCAATTTGTAATATTGGTACAAACAAGATTTTAGACACCTTAGTAATTTACAGATTTCTAAATTAGCAGTCAGTACTATATATTAAATTACTAGATTTAGTTATTTATTAATTAGTGTTATACTAACCTTAATTCTGATAAGTTAATAGTTAGATAAATAATTATATTATAGTAAAACAGTTCATTAAGAAGAATTATATAATGTGTTTTTAATAATACTTATATATATATATAAATGCCAGTTTTTCTTCTAAATATTAGAGTAGAAGTTGTATACTTTTTGAACTCTTCTTCTAATAAAGAAAATTCTAATAACTTGTTTTTTCCAATAAATTATCTATTAATATTCTTATTATAAATATTTTAATTAGAGGGCTGGTAATCGTATCTCCCAAATTTGGTATTCATACCTCTCATGCCGGTAATTTCCAAAAATCATGTTAACACATGATGTTCCCTATATGTGATTGGTTAATATTGCTTTGTACAACTCTAGCACATTTGTTAACATAATATATTTATAAATTTGACAAGTAATATAGCACAAAATAACCATAAAATGTCACTAGTTTTTGATATTGTGAATTCTGTGGCACAAATACACAAGTGTTACATTAAATTATATGATTAATTGTGGCTTTTTTATTATAGTGATAAACACTAAAACATTGTTACAGGTAAAATTAACCATAATCAAGACTTCGCATAATTTGATCAAGCCAATACCCTAATGCTGATTGATGCATGTAACAATGACTGAACCAAAATTAAATGAAACATGTATAATCATCATCAACAAACAGCAACATAATATAACCAAATCATGAATGAGTTAAAATTGAAAAGCCCAGGTTTCAAAATGGCGAGATGAAGTTGTAGAAAAAAATTATACAAAGTGTAGGTTTTAGATCGAATATTGATAATAAAAATCTTAATTGGGTCAAAATCTCTAAAAAACTAGCTAAAATTGAATAACTCTAATCTAATATTAGCTAACTTTGGATGATATCAAGATTTTAAATGAATCTCTCCTAATAGAATCAAAGAATAATCAGGATATGTCAACCAAATTTATATAAATTCCAATCAAATTCGTAATAGTGCATGAAATTTAATTTTGATTTATCATCGATATCTTTTGATTTAGCAATTAAAATTTGATGATTTTAGTATCATTCGAATCATCTTATTAAGATGATTCAAAAAGTACTAAACTCATCAAAATCCAATTACTAGTCAAGAGATAATAGCAATAATTCAAAATTAAATTTCATGTACTATTACAAATATGATTGAGATTTAACCAAATTTGGTTGATGTATTCTGTAGTAGGAAAGTAGAGATAAAAGTCCTAAAACAGTACAATTAGTTAGTAGCTAAAAAATGTATAAAATAACAAAATATTAAATAAAAATCTTATCTCTTGCATCTTCAAAAAAAAACAATACTCTCAAATTATCTTTACGTCCCTCTATAAATCTTTCGAATCAATCATTAATTTTTCTTGAAAAGTAAGCATACTTCCACCGTATCAAGACACCTACAATAGTGTAGATAAACTCTTTAAAAGTGTTCAAGCATTTGCAAAATCACAAGAATATGCATTGGTAAAAAAAAGAACTCATAAAGATAAGCATGGTGAATTGAAGAATATAGAATTATGCTGTGATTAGGTAGCATGTACAACAATTTCTTAGGCTTAACTGAAGAAACACACACTATACAAAGTAACACCAGACTAATCAATTGCCCTTTTGAATTGTATGTGGCTAGATATAGTGATCGATAGAGTTTTGAAATCCATAATTCAGAGCATATACATGATCCTTCAAGTAATATGTCAGAACACCCAATTGCCCGAAGACTCATAGAACAGCAATTAGAAACTGTTGCAGCAATGACTGCTGCAAGATCATGTCCCTGGGAAATTATTTCAACCCTTCGTCAAAATAATAAATTAAAGTTAATTACTAATAATGATATTTACAACACATGCAAGAAGCTTAGATGACAAAACTTGGCAGGCCGTACCCTGATTCAGACTCTCATCGATAATCTTCACAAAGGGAATTTTTTTTATGATTATGAATGTGATAACAATAGATCTGTTAATTATCTATTTTTTATATATAATGAGTCCATTGCCCTTATCTGTCAATATCCATTTGTCCTTCTCATAGATTGTACATACAAAACAAATAAGTTTAAAATGCCTTTATTGAATGTTACAGGTATAACTTGCCTTAATACTACTTTCTTCTCTTGTTTTATCTTTATGAAAGGTGAGGATGAGAATGATTATAGGTGGGCTTTAACACATGTCACTCGCTTGTTTAATAGAGTATCAAAACCTGAAGTTATTGTAACAGACAGAGAGCTAGCTCTCATGAATGCACTTGAAATAATCTTTTCTGATTCAATAAATTTGCTTTGTGTATAGCACATAAGCAAAAATATCTTAAAAAACTGCAAGTCGCAGTTCCTCAAAGAAACAAACAATAATGAAGACAATGAATAAAATAGTTTCTTTGAAAAATGGAATAACATTATTAACTCTGAAACTGAAGATAATTTTAATATAAAATGGGAAAATTTCTGTTCTACCTATAATAATAAAGCCAGTGTTATATCTTATCTTAATGAAATATGGATATCATGAAAGACACAATTTGTAAAGGCATGGATGAATAGAATTCTTTACCTAGGAACAACTGTAACCTTCCATATTGAAGGCTCACATGTGACTCTCAAACATACCTACAAACTTTAACAGGGGACCTTTATAGGGTTTGCTCAACAATTACTCTTGCTATAACCAACCAAAAAAAAGAAATTGATTCAAGAATTAAATTAGAACGCATTAATATTTTACTTTTTGCAGATAACAATATGTTGTATACAAATCTTAAAGGTCAAGTTTTAACCTTCGCTCTTAAAAAAATAAATGAGCAGTGTCAGAAAATTATTTTAAAAAAACTATTACCACCACGTACTAGAACTTTTTCAAAAACAATAGGCCTACATTGTGCCTATTACATCCAAAATTTTGAAAATAACCATAGCCTAACACTTGAAGATATCTATAAAAATTGGTGGATTCAAGGGCACACACCAGCACCACAAATTGAAGGCATATTTTATGGCGAGAACTTACTACAGCCTCTCTTACAGAACCTAGAACAAAAATACCAGAAATGGCCTGAACATCAATTTACAGAAGCCAGAAAAGCATTAAATGATATGATAGATAGCCCACTTATAACTCTCCAGAACTCCCAAGTAGTTCATAACAAAAGATGTCCTTCTGGTGCTCAAAATCAGCAACCAACTAGCTCAACAACAAGAGACCCCTCTGGTTTTGAGTTAATCGATAATAAAGTGAGGCAATGTAGTATTTGCAAACAGCCTGATCACAATGCTCGTACTTGTTTAAATAGAAGTACAGAATAAAGAATTAGTATGTTTCATTTGATTCATCTTTATGTAAACAAGTTTATAATCAATAATATTTAGCTTTAAATAAAATCATATTTTTATCTAAAAAAAAAAAATAGCAGTAAAAATAAAATATTGGTTGTTTAGATTATTTTATATTTGAAGTGATGCTAATCAAATGTAGAAATCAAGAATAAAAATTCAGCTCAACCTTTACCTCTATAAAATTAAATTCAATTGTTTTATTATTAGCTCCTGCCTAATTCTTAAGCGAAGAACATATATAGTAAAATTTTAAATATTTGAATTATTGTGATTTTGTTCACTCTTTGCCCTTATGTGCAACAGTATTGGCCAATTACATATAGGAAGCATCATGTGTTAATGTGATTTTTAGAAATTACCAGTATGGGAGGTACGAATACCAAATTTGGGGGTACAATTACCAGCCTCCTTTAATTATTGTAAAAATCTTATGTTTTACCTAATTCTAAATAATCTTATCTATGATCTGATATATTATATTGTTTATTATTCTAATCTATCTTAAAATCAATTTTATCTAATGCTTTTTTAAAATTCAGATGGTAATATAAACTTAATTATGTCTAATAAATATTTTAATTTTTCTTAAATTTTGAGAAAAAATATCTTTACAACTATTTGACCAAGTTTGATAAAATATTTTTATTTGAATTTTGTAGATTTACAAAATTTAAATAAAGAAATTTTTATTGAATTTGGTTAGGTGGCTATAGAGATATTTTTGCTTGAAGTTAAAAAAAATTTAAAATATCTATCAAAAATAAAAGCTATACCAATTTTTTTAAAAAGTTTGTGCAAAAATATCTCTATAACTATCTAACTAAATTTGATAATTATTTTTTTTATTTAAATTCTAAGATTTATAGTAAGTATATTCAAATATTTATAAAATATATATTTACTAGGACTTAAATTCGAAATCTACAAAACTCTTTCCGTCAATCACTCGTACAAAAATTTTTTCAAAAACCTAACTTAACAAAATCTCATTTTTGCGATAATTTATTAAGACAACCTAATTTCTAACCCTAATAAAACCTTTTCCACGTACAAAACTATATATAATATTTAAATTTTAAAAAGATAGCTCTTAAACTCTTTAAATAACGGCCTTTCAGGCCAAAGAAGCTTCTTTTGCCGTTTACGTAAATTCCAGATTCTAAATGTTATTCTAAAATAATACAAATTATTCTACATATTTTTCTCTTTAAAACAAGCTATAATAGATCTCTGTAGCTTCAATATTGACTGAGTTACAAGCAAAATAATCTCTAACTCCATCTACTTTTTCTTTTCTCTTTTACTTTGGGAATTTTTCTTTTTCCAAACAACTAGAGACGTTTTTCATGTAACAAAGGCCACTCAGCCGTGCTACTCACATTTTACAATACCTTAAACCTAGTGGTGCTTTCTAAATTACACTAAAATTGCCTCATTTTAATTAATATTGCACAATTTTAATATTTGCCTTTTTT